CTACAGGGAGACCCTGTCTCAAAAAGACCAAAAAATAAAAATATAAATAAATAAATAAATAAATAAATAAATAAAATGTTTTTAAAATCTGGGCTGGAGGACAGACTGTGCCTACAGGGCTGATGCTTCCAGGAAGCCCTCCTATAGTGCACTTCTTGGGAGACCCACTGCCTCATGGGTTCTGTTTTCTTTCAAGAGGCCCTGACTTTGATGAGGGAGTTGGACCAGGCTCACTGGGTCTCTTAGAAGCCAGACCTCCTTAGACCTCAATTTCCCCATCTGGCAAATACAAATGAGTTATTAGCCTGATTATCTCCTGAGAGGAAGTAGAGACAGGGCTGCAGCAGTGAGCAGCTTCCAGGAATGGGGGTGAGGCATTGCCCGCTAAGTGGGTGCCCTCTGGCTCCAACTTTGGCAAGTGGGCGTGTCCCCTGGTCAGATGTCCTGACCATGCCACAATCAGCGGACTCCGGTCCCTTACAGCTGCAGATGTCCTAAGCAAGTCACTTCCTCCCCTGGGAAGGCTAAGGGAGGGAAGGTGACAGCAGCAGCCCCCCGCTTCTGTGTCCGCTTCTCTGAGACTTGGGTTTCCTCATCTGTCTATGAGGGAGGCAACCTACATTCAGTGTGATGAATGCATGAGGTGTCCCTAGGTAACGAGAGTCTGGCCAAGGTCTCGGGTCCAGTGATGGTCTGAGAAATGAAAGGGAGAAGCTGGTGTCTTGACAACCAAGGTCAGGCCAGTGGGAAGTGCAAGTCATCACACAGGGGGAAGTAGGGCCAGTGACAGCAGAGGGCTGGGGGATACCCTGGAGTGTCTTGGTTTCTCTCTCCTAAAGAGTTCGCCCCACCACCAGCATGGACTTATGACCAAGGCTACCAGCCATGCCCGCCTGGTTCCACCTCCCTGCTGTGCTCAGGTTTTCCACACCTGCTTGATTCTCCCACCTGGCCCTTGCACCTGCTGGGTACAAGGAATGTTACTCCTTATTCCTTCAGACTCCCTCCTTCTGCAGCGTACCCTCTGGCAACCTTCTCAACCAGCCAAGGGAATGAGTAGACAGAGGGTTAATAATACACCACCCTGGATTATTCTCTGGCCAGAGAGAATGCCAAGGCTGGATTGGCCCTTTGTGTTGCCCCATATCACCGTGGTGATGGTCTAACAATTATTTTGTATGTATGTTTTGCCTACATGTATGTATGTATATCACGTGCATGCAATGCTCATGGAGGCCAGAGGAGGGTATCTGGATCCCCTGAAACTGGAGTTGTGTGCCACCTTTTGGGTGCTGGGAACTGAACCCAGGTCCTCTGCAAGGGTAGCCAGTGCTCTTAACTGCCAAGCCATCTCTCCAACCCCAAATGATAATTTAAATTTACTCATTTGACTGAATAAAGCATTGAAAAATATTGGTTTGTTTTTTTCCAGAGATGGAAATTCATATTTTTGTGTTTGAATTAAATACATCAAGTTGTGATCCAAACATTGAGCAACAGAGGCAGCACAGCTGCATGTAGCTCCGTATTGACTGACACATGGCTAGACCTGTACCTCAGTTTTCTCATCTGTGAAGAGGGGATGATGATTAAGTAGTATCCAGTTCATATTGTTATATTGAAATTTATTGATGAAAGCAAAGCACTTAGAACCCAACCTGGCAGCTCTAGAGGTCAGCAAAAGTCCACTGTCCACCCATACAAACTGGAAACAGACAGGGACAGAGCATCGAGTACTGTGTCATTCACCACAGCCCAAAGGTGGCAGCAGTCAAGTGGCCATCAAGGATAACAAAATGCCATCCATCACAGGAGGGAATGATTAGAACTTTAACAGGAAGGAAATCCTGACCTGTGCTAAAGCCATGGATGGGCCTTGAGAACATTTGCTAACTGAAACAAGCAGTCACAGAGGACAAGGGATATATCACCCCACTCTGCAGGTCCCTGGAGCAGACAGGCACAGAAACAGTAGAATGGAGGTTACTGAGGACTTCGAGGGAGAAGGAGATGGATAGTCACTGTGTAATGGGGACAGTGGTTTGGTTTTGCAGGGAAAAAAGAGTTCTGTGGGGCTGGGGAGATGATTCAGTAGTTAAAGGCCCTTACTGTTCTGTAGAGGACCCAGCACCTACATTGGGCAGCTCACAACCCCCTGTAGCTCTAGTTCCAGAAAATCCAATGCCCTCTTCTGGGCTCTGCAAGGACTTCACTCACACGTGCACATAGCCACACACAGGCACATAGGCACACACCGTTAATCCCATTGCTCAGGAGGCAGAGGCAGGCAGGCCTCTGTGACCAGCCTGGTCTACATAGTGAGTTTCAGGCCATCTGGGGCTATAGGAAGCCTCTGTCTTAAAAACAAAGAAAAGGGTGAGAGGAATTGGATAGGATGGAGGTGGTGGTGGCTGCATGGCCGTGTGAATGCATTTTATGTTGAACACCTAACAGTTAAAACAGTAACTTTCATGATGTATATTTTATTACAGTTAAAAACATAAAGAGGGCATCACATGTGGTGGAACATGCCTGTTATCCCAGCACTCAGGAGGCAGAACAGGATTATTTTTGAATGTCAGGCCATATTTGGTTATAGAGAAGCATCTTGTCTCAAACAAACAAATACCCAAACCATCAGGAAATGCTACTTGAGGGGAGAGAGGGAGGCTCTGGATTGCGTGCGAGCAGACCATGGCTCCTGGCCAGGTGCCGGCCTGCAGGGCTTCTGGGCTAGACTAGGGGCCAGCCTACCCCTACTTGTTCTCCCACCCTCTCAGGTTCCCAGGACTTGGGGCTTGAGACTCCAGCAGCTCTAGAGGTACCTTTCCTGTAGGGATGGATTTCTTGGCTGGCCTTTGGTGCCTGCTGGAAGTACCTAGCCTTTTGGGGGACTATCATGAGGTGGGGGGTAAAATAGCTCCTACCCTGTGGGCCACACTGATTGTGGGCCTTTGGCACTCCACATAGCCCCATTCCCAAGTTTTCCTTGTGTTGGGGATTTCACATAGGACCTTTGACCCTCATCTTGAACTCAAAGAGGGAACTACATTGACTTCTGTCTACCTGACTCTGCTCTAAGTGAGCCACTGTGGGAAACTGGGGACAAGGCTGGTAGCCCAACAGGCCCACAAGGCCCATGCTAACTATAGGCTCTGAGCAGACATGGGGTCTTGAAGGCCTGACGCCCCTTTCTCTGACCCCAGCTGCAGAGTTCTCAAGCCATTTCCCAATCTGTTTGGAATTAGAAGTGGGGTGGACAGAGTCTGGTGATGTTGTGTAATAAACCACAGGCAGCCAGGAGGCAGTGGCCCAGGACCCCTGGGTTCCCATTGTCTTTGTCTGTTTGGATGGAAGGCTGGACTTGGCCCTAACTCTTGGTCTACCCCTCGGTGGGTCAGAGGCAATGAGCGCACATACACACACACACACACACACACACACACACACACGCACATGCACACGCAGCCTGGGCCCTGTGGACCCATCTGAAAAATGTCACCCATTGGGATCTCAGGGAGAGAAGGCACCATCTCGGTCTTAAAACCACCTTCTGGCAGCTCTCTGTACCTGCTTCCTACAACCCCCCCACCCCCACCCCAGGATAGGGTGAAGGACAGTCCTAGTCTAAACCTGGCACTCAGTCACTGCACCCCAGGAGGAAGAGGAAGTTCTGGGTCTCCAGGGACACCCCCTAAACATAACTCCACTCAGCTGCCCTTCCCTATACCCTCAAAGACAGGTTCCCAGGCTGTCAGGGATAGAAAGAAAGCACAAACAAAAGATGGAGGAGGAGCTGAGCTACAAACTAGAAGCAAAAGAGAGCTGATACCCAGCCGGCAGGGAAATTCCTGAATGAATCCATCGTTTCCAGGGGGCAGAAATTCCAGGGAGGCAAACACCTTAAATCCCCCTTCCTGCCCCAGCCCACCTCCCCACCCTCCTCAAGGCAGACCCTGAGAAATGGCATGCAGAATGGGAGACTGAGGACCTGGCCCAGCCCCAGCCAGGGAAAGGTCGTGGGTAGGAGCCCTGGGGGCCCAGGGGTGAGGATCTTCACCACTCTGAGCGAGTCCCCCAATCTCAAACCTCGGTAACCAGAGATCTCGGGGAGTCCACTGCTTCCCTTGGGGAGCCTCCTTCCAGGAAGCCTGCCTCCCAGTGTCCCCAGAGGGGCGCCTGTAGGCAGCTGAGGAGTTGGGGTCCGGGAGGGTTGCTCCCCTGGAGTGGATGCTCCCGGAGCTGAAGTGGATGCTGTCTGTGTGACGTGGGACAGAGGTCTGGGTGCCGCGTGTGCAGACAGCCAATCAGAGGCCGTGGTGGGACAATGGCCCAGCGCCCGGAGGAACTCGGGGGGGGGCCCCCGATGCCCTCGGTGCGCACACGTGCCCCGCCACGCTTGGCCAGTCCACCACTCGTGCCCTGGCTGCTGGCAGCTCCGACCCCGCCCCTCGCCCTTCAGGCCCCGCCCCGTCCGGACCCCAGCTGGGGGATCAGCCTGAGCCTTGGCCTCCGCCCGCGGGTTTTCCGCGGTTGCGGCTGGTGGGGCAGGCGGAGCCAGGGCGGAGCCAGTGACTATTTCAGGCCGTGCCGGGCCAGGGTCAGGACAGAGGCGTCCTGTCCCGACACAGTAAGTGACCTCCGCCGCCGGGCGCCTGTCCCCACCGTCCCTGCGCGGCTTCCCTCCCGACAGGACTCCCCGAGGGAATGGCCCTGAGTGGCCGAGGAAATGGGAGAGGGAGATTCCGAGGTCACCTGACCTCCAGCGGACCCACTTGCTAGGGAAATCGAGGCCGTGCCAAATCTGTGCCAAGGCGCAGAAGGTTCCAGGTCCCGGCGCGCGGCGCAGGGATCTGTCTCCAGAAAGGCAGGATACTGGGGGCGGGGACAAAAGCTCAAGGGTCTCCGGTTTACAGTAGGAAGGCCCACACACTCACAGGACTCCCGGGCTGGGTGGCCTCATGTGGGGCACGGGTGGCATCCTCCTCATAGGAGACAGGTGATTGGAGACCAGTAAAGTTCTCTGTGGACCTCAGTCCTAACCCTGGGAATGGGGGGCGGGGGGGATGTGCTTAAAATTGAAGGGGGATAACACAGCTGGGCCACAGGCTGTGGCCACATCATGTGCCTCTGAGCAGGCCCCTTCCTGCCTCAGTGGACCAAGCTAGCACTGGTGCTTTAAGGACGGCCTCTTTACCCCTTCTGGGCTCCTCACAGTCCCAGAGGCCTATGTAGTGTCCAGAGCCTGGTTTGTGGTTTTGCCATATTCTCTGAGCAGCTGTGGGGTGGGGGGCTCAGCCCCATATCACAGATGGGGAAACTGAGGCCTATGGAGAAAGGGGATTGTCTAGTCCTGACATTGGTGAGTGGTGCAGTGGAGTCCACGGCTGGTTCTCCCTCCTGCACCAGTCACCTTTGATACTCTGGAGAGCAAGGGGTGCTGGACACTGAGGTTGGGGCTGAGTAGTCCACCAGCTGGACCAACTCTTACGGGTGTAGGTCTGGAGGGGCCTCAAACCCTGCATGGTTCTGAGTAGAATTCTCAGTCCTCATGGTTCTGAGGAAGTTGTGAGGTTCAGGAGTGAGGGCTTTGCCTGTCCCAGGCATCTGGTGAGGATGATAAGGGCTGGGGTGGGGGGAGCCTTCCTGTCTAATCAAGTGGCTCTGGCCAAGCCCCAGGTATGGGACAAGCCCTTAGAACATGAGTTAAGATAGCTGTGTTGGTGGAGGCAGAGGGACTGTGGGAGGAAGCCTCCTCCCAACCCCTAGACCTGCTATGCTTAGGGCCTCAGTTTCTCCTTTGCATTGTGGGTCCTGCCACCTGGCTGTTTCAGGGTTACTCCAGGTTGTCCTGATGAATTTGAGATACACCTTGGGATATTTATTCTTGGGGGTGGGGCCAACAAGTGATCACTTGTTTATGGATCACACTATTTACCAGGTAGGTAAGGCCTGCTCCTTCCCTGGGTTAGCTGCACTCCAGTGATCTTCTTTGCTTCAAAAATCCAGATACAGTGTGGGGGGGGGTGGGAGGGGCGGAGGGTGGAGGCCTGAGGAAAGCCAGTCCTTTGAGCTCAGTGCTCTGATTCCCAAGCCCAAGCTACTGACCACAAGGCTATTTTAAAGCTAAATAACACCCCTTCTGGTTGGGAGAGAAGCGATGGGAAGGGCACCCAGGAAGGGCGTAGAAAGGGAAGCTTTTGTGAAGATGATGTCACTCCATTTGGGAGCAAGCAGGTTAGGGTAGAAAGCAGACTCAAGTTGTGTGACCGCAGGAAGCCCTGTGCCTTGCTGAGCCCCTTCCCTCTGCTGACATATGAAAGGCTCCCTGAAGTCCTGCCCTACTCTCTGAAATCTGACCTCAACCCAAGCTTGCACAGGGGTCAGGCTCTTTGTGTGGTCCCAGTACAACAGCTGTGTTTTTTGTTTGTGGCATCTTTCTGTGACACAAAGCTAGTTAGGAGCTGTGCAAGAAGGGAAGGGCTGGGCTGGACTGGGCTGGGCTGGGCTGGGCGAGGAGGCCTAGGGTTCTGTGACCCTGGCATGGCCTTGAATTTTCTAGATCTGTTCTTGCTGTCCAAGAGACAGTAACTTGTGTCTTGCCTCATCTAAATCTGGTGGGGCCAGAGAGTTTCCCACTATCTAAGTCTCTTTTCCCTCCAAAAGGCTACACTGTCAAGGAGGGTTTACCCAAGTGCAGAGAAGGTCCCCTTTGTGGGATGTCTGGGGTCCCAAGCTCAGAGGAGATTCTGGAGGGCTGTCAGGAGACAAGTTGTGGGCACTTGGCATTTGTGGCCAAGGTGGGAGCAGAGCTGTTGGTGCACATCAGGGCTAGGAGATGGGGGCCCTGGTGGTTATGCAGGTGAAGAAAGATCAAGCACAGTCAGGGCTGCAAGCTGGGCATGCACCCAGGCCTAGGGACTGGCCATTGTGATCTCTGATGCCTTCATTTCCCACCCTCGACCTGCAGGCCCTGAGCCAGGGTGATGCTGAAGATGATGACCTTCTTTCAAGGGCTTCCTGGCCAGCAGTCTTTGCTGGGGACCCTGGACCCTGGACTGTCTGAGGCAGAATCAGAGGCTTCCATGTCAGAAGCCTCCTCTGAGGACCTGATACCACCCCTGGAGGCTGGGGTGACTCCAGATGGGGAGCAGGAAGGGACTTCAAAGAAGAAGAAGTCAAAAGGACTGGCCAACATGTTAAGCGTCTTCATCAAAGGAAAGAAGAAAAAGGATCAGCCCAGATCATCAGAAACTGAGGTCAAGTCCAAGGCCCGGCCAGAGCTGGAAGGACCACCACCCACAGGTAGGCTGTGGCTGGAGCCGGAGCTGGGGTCCAGGGGTAGAGCTGGTCCAGGCGTGAGCCGCTCAGCCAGGACTGGGTGAGCAGGTGGGGCGGGCTAGGGCGAGTCAGCTGTCTTGGAGGATGGAGGAGCTTGGCTCTGGTCCTGCCTGGGACACTGGCCTCCTCTCCGACTCGGACTCCTCTTGTCCCCGGCGGGTTTGAAGCCAGCTGCGGTGGGCTTGCGGACCTAACGCAGGTTTTGCGCCGCAGTGGAGGAGCTGAAGGCGGCCCTGGAGCGCGGGCGTCTGGAGGCGGCGCGGCCAGTGCTGGCGCTGGAGCGGGAGCTGGAGGCGGCGGCGGCGGCGGGTGGCACCAGCGACGAGGAGCTGGTGAGGCTGCAGAGCAAGGTGGAGGCGCTGTACGTGCTGCTGCGGGACCAGGTGCTCGGCGTGCTGCGCCGGCCGCTGGACGCGGCTCCCGAGAGGCTGCGCCAGGCGCTGGCCGTGGTGGCCGAGCAGGAGCTGGAGGACCGTCGCGCGGCGGCCGGGACCAGGGCGGCTGCGCTGGTGGACACGCTGTGGCGCGGCGGCGTGGAGGAGGTGGCGGCGGAGCGCCTGGGCGCGCGGCCCGCGGGGGTCCCCGCCGGGCTCTCGGAGGCCGAGAGCAGGTTCCTGCACATGGGCCGCACCATGAAGGCGGACCTGGAGGCAGTGGTGGAGCGTCTGAAGCCACTGTTCCCCGCGGAGTTCAACGTGGTGCACACCTACGCGCAGAGCTACCACCAACTCTTCGCGGCCCACCTGGACACCTTGGCGCAGTTCGAGCTGTGTGAGAGGGACACCTACTTGCTACTGCTCTGGGTTCAGAACCTCTACCCCAAGTGAGCTGGTGCCCCTGGATGGGATGGATCCCCCTAGATGAGGGATGGGTCCCACTGGGTAGGATGAGCCTCCCTGGATGGGATGGGTCCCCCTGGACAGAATGGGTCCCTGGATGGGATGGGCCCCCCTGGATGGGATGGGTCCCCCTGACGAATGGGTCCCACTGGGTAGGATGAGCCTCCCTGGATGGGATGGGTCCCCCTGACGAATGGGTCCCACTGGGTAGGATGAGCCTCCCTGGATGGGATGGGTCCCCCTGGACAGAATGGGTCCCTGGATGGGATGGGCCCCCCTGGATGGGATGGATCCCCCTAGATGAGGGATGGGTCCCACTGGGTAGGATGAGCCTCCCTGGATGGGATGGGTCCCCCTGGACAGAATGGGTCCCTGGATGGGATGGGCCCCCCTGGATGGGATGGGTCCCCCTGGCGAATGGGTCCCCCTCTTCAGTAAGTGGAGCGGGAGTTGAGACAGTGGAGCCAGCCATTGATGAGCCGGAAACAGAGGTGAAGGGTGAGGGGTGGGAACTGAATTCGATGGATGGATGAGTCAGCTTTGAACTAGCGTTGTTCTATCTTCCATTTCCCGGACCTCAGCCATTCTGCAGCTGGGGAAAGGAGGACACAGAAAATGAAACTTTGTCATTCATTCCAGAGGTCGTGTCAACACAGGGATGAAAAGCAGGTGGGGGTTGTGCAGCAGGACACAGGGGAGGCCAGAGCAGCAGGGAGCAGGAGGAGACGGTCTGGGGGAGTCAGGGAGCCTCCTGTACTGAGTCAGCTCACACTTTAATGGGTGTCAGGCGGGGAAGCAGTGGTAGGTAGTGTTCCTGGCATGGGGAGTCCCACTGTGGAGCTGAGCAGTGCTGCAGAGTTGTTCTGTCTGGTATGTTAGGAGACATCCCCAAGCAGGAGGGCAAGTGGTAGGACTAGGTGCCCCTCTCAGGGAAATGTCTGTCAAACAAGCCCACTGAGGCCTGGGGCCCCTTAGATGGGAAGTTAGCTGTGCCTGTGGAGGGCAGTTTGGTACTCAAGTAGGTCCCGTCTCAGGCATCCTCTGATTGACTCAGATTCCACAGATCCCAAGAATGTCTGCTGTCTACACAAGCTGAGGGAGAGTGACTAATTTGCAGGGGGAAATGTCCACAACAGCAGAGACCAGGGGTCCTTACTGAGGTGACTCCCCAGACTTGAGTGTAAAGTGGACAGGAGAAAAGGCTGACAGTGTGAGCAGTGTGAGCAGCTTGGTTGGTGCTGATAAACCAGCCTCCAGAGGAGGGCCAGAGAAAGGGCACAACAAGGGTAGTAGGTTAGGAGCCAGCAGGGCACAGGGAAATGGTCACAGGGCAGGGGCTGCCAGAGACAGCTGGGCCCTGATCAAGTTCCTACTGGCTTGTCTGGACTCACCAGGAAATGCCAGGCACTCATACTCCTGTCTGACTACCTTCCTGTCTCTGTGATGGTGGGGAGTCTCCCAGCAGGGGGCCGAGTTGCAAAACAAGAAACTGAGGCTACTCAGGATACGGAATCCAAGGGAGGCATATTAAGGCCTTTGGGGCCCCAAGTGTAGCGCAAATGTATCCATATGGGGTGAGAGGCACAGAGAGGGTCATTTCTTTGTTGTTGTTAATGTGTATGAGTGTTTGCCTGCATGTATGTAAATGCACCCATATTACGCAATGCCCACGGAGGCTAGAAAAGTGCATCCAATACCCTGGAACTGGAGTTAAGGACAGCTGTTAACCACCATGTGGGTGCTGGGAACTAATCCCAGGTCCTCTGAAAGAGCAGCCAGTGCTCTTAATCACTGAACCATCTCTCCAGACCCTGTTTTTTTGTTTTTTTAATACAGGAGCACCCTGTTAACCCCAGCTGGCCTGGAACTTGCTATGTAGACCAGGTTGTTCTTCATCTCACAGAGATCTGCCTGCCTTTGCCTCCCAGTGCTGATATTAAAGGCACCCAGCTCGAGAGAGGATCATTCTTAAGGCTCCAGACAAAGGCCCTTTAGAAAGTTCTAGGAGTGGACCTGTCCCCTGGGAACTCTGGAACCACTTGAGGCACCAGGAGAGCCCTGTGGAGCAGTTCCAGGGCAGCCTTTCCTGCTGAGCAGCAGAGCTGGCCCGCTGGGAGTGCCAGGACTGGCTTGCAGGGCCACTGGGGTCAGGAGTTGGGCTGGATCTGTGCGAGAGGGGAAGTCTGGTAGAGGGAGAAGATCAGATTTGAAAGCTGACTCTGGGGGTAAAGGCGTGGTTGGGCACCAGAGCAGAAGCAGGGGATAAGGAGAAAACTCCTACAGCTAGCCAGGCAAGAGAGGATGGGGGCCTGGCTGGGGTCCAGGGTAGCCTCCAGGCTGATAGATCTCTGGGACTCTTTTAGAGCAGAAGTGGATGCGGGGAGTAAGAAGAGGCAGGTTGACCCCAGCGTGAATAAACTGAGCAGATGTCTTGTCTGCTGTGGGGAACCAGAGTGAGAAGCTGAAGTGTGTCTGGGAACTGAGGTAGTGGGTTCTGCTGAGGGAGTGTGGAGTTCCTCATGTCAGCTTCCCTCTGCCCACAGTGATATTCTGAACAGCCCTAAGCTGGCCCAGGAGCTGCAGGGTATCAGGCTTGGGAGCCTCCTGCCCCCTAAGCAGATTAAGTTGCTGGAGGCCACGTTCCTGTCCAACGAGGTGGTGAGTCCAAACGCTGGGGGCAGGGTGGAGGTAGAAGTACAGAGATAGGATACAGGGTTCCCAGAACATGACAGATACTTCCAGATGAGCTTGGTGACGGTCAGTGCTATGATGACCTGCCTCTACCTCCCCCGACCCCCAGGCCAATGTGAAGTTACTGATGAACCGAGCCTTGGAACTGGAGTCTCAACGCTGGGCCCAGGATGTGGCCCCCCAGAGGCTGAATGGCTACTGCCACTGTGAGCTGGCCATTGACATCATTCAGGTAACACCTGCTCTCCCCTCAGGCCCACGGTACACAGAGACAGCTCATTCATCTTGTGTGCATGCATAGCCCATCTCTGAGGGCTTTTGTGTTCCAGCATGCTCCCTTCCCACGCGCTAGGGGTAGAGGGGGAGGCTGCCATGTTCACTCTCTACTGTTTGTGCAGATCATCTCCCAAGGCCAGACCAAAGCTGAGAACATCACCTCTGACATGGGGATGCAGATAAAGCAGTTGCTGCTGGTGGAGCTGGCTTCGATGCTGAGGAGGTGGGTATGTCCACCATGCCTATGGCAGGCAGGGATTCCCAGCACCTTTCAGAGCTCTCCCTCTCATGAGCCCTCCCTTGTGCCAAGGGTGGCAGGATCCAAGCTAAATCAGCACTGCCCTGCTCCTATTGGCTACAGCCAGGGTTTTTCAGCCCCCACCCCACCCCAGGGTACAGAGTTCCAGGTGGGGATTGACCTCCACAGGGCATCAGTGTTGGCGCGTCCTGACCTCGTCCCCATCAGCAAAGCTCCCAGGAGAGTAGTCTGTAGCTTCAAAGAAGATACATCAGGGGGGAACACTGCACCCCACTCCACTCCCATGATACCTCCAGAATTAACTTGGTTGCTCCCCAACTCTGAGGACCCCCTTCAGCCAACTATAGCACCATGTGGCCTCCCAGCTATAGAGGGGGACTGGAGAAGGGGAGGAGGAGCCTGGGAACTCCAAGGCCAAGCAGCACCTTCTCTGGGGGCCCTGATGGGGCTCTGGTCCTTCTAGTTTGTACAGTCCATGGCATGATGCTTAGGTGCTAGGGCCCCTCCCCCGGTCTTGGGGAGACAAGGAAGACACAGATTGGGAGGGAGTGGCTGCAACTTCCCAGTGTTTGTGCTGGTTTTGAAGATACCCCATCCCGTTTTGCCAGCTACCAGCACATCTTTGATGAATTTCTGGAGAAAAGCAAACTGCTGAAAAATTATAGGGCCAACATCATCGCCAACATCAACAACTGTCTGTCCTTTCGGTGAGAGTGCTGGGCAGGTTTGCTTGGTAGAAAGGCAGGGCAGGTGAGAGGTGGGACAGAGATGTAGGATTAAGGTTCACATGGCTATGAGGAAAAACGGGCCTGGCGAAGCCACAGCAAAGATGCGCAGTGGTGTAGGAACACGGGCACATTGATTTGGTCATCAGCTTATCCCTCCAACAAGGCTGTGAAGCAGAAGACAGAGGAATAGAGAACTGGTGACTTGCCTCAGGCAGAAGGGGATGTACCTGGGGCGTGGGGCTGTGCATGGGAGGATTTGGAATGGATACCACAGGGAATGGGAAACCACTGAGAGTTCTAGAGTGAAGAACAAATTTAGGATGGTTGGGCCAAGGTTCATTGCAGGGGATTGTAGGCTGGGCAGGCTGTCATGACCTCCTCCCTCCATGTTCCAGGACATCCATGGAGCAACAGTGGCAGATACCGCAGGATTCCCCGAGCCACCTGATGGACCCCCTGAAAGAGCTCAAGGCTCACGGTTTTGACACCCTGCTCCAGAGTCTGTTTTTGGACCTGAAGGTATCAGGAGCTTCCTTCTCTGGGGAGCATCCTGAGCCTGGCACAGGAAGGAGGGCTCAGGAGGGAAGCCCCTGCTGCAGGCCTGTGGGAGGCACAGATGGGGAGGTGCAGTGGTACTGGGAATGCCTGAGTGATGGGGCTCTGGGGTGCTTTTCTCACTCACCCCTCATCCTGGCCTCGGCTTGGAGGGGCCACGGGGTGGGGATGGTCTGGAAAAGACTCAGTGTCCCCCATGCCTGACTCCTAGATTTTAGGGATCAGGACCTTTGACAACTGGATTATATCTCCAGGGGGCCAAAAACACACAGATGGGGAGTTGGGGGTCCCTCGGAAGGCAGAGGAGGGGTTTCCTGCCCGGAGTCTGGACTTAAAGCACAAAAGATGTCTGGATGACCTGGCATAGGGTTCAGCAAAGTACAGGGCCTTGTTTATGCAGGAGTTTATTTATTTAAGAGGGAGGCAGTGGAAAAGACCTCAGGGCTACACACAGGCTGTCCTGGCTCCTGAGCCACAGCTGGGTGACCTTGGAAACAGGGTTCACAGAGACTGCCTCCACTTCTGATCTGACAGCAGGGACCTGCGTGCCAGCCAGCTCCTGGACAGCCTTGGGTCATGAGTGTCTGTGAGTGAGGGTGTCTGTGCCTGGCCGCCCTTCCTTTCTGTGTGTGACCAGACATCTTGCCTCTCACTTGTCTCAGCTGCTATTCAAGAAGTTCACGCAGACCCGCTGGGCAGCACCGGTGGAGACCCTGGAGGAAATCATTGCCACCGTGGGCAGCAGGCTGCCTGAGTTCTCAGAACTGCAGAACTGTTTCCGGGAGGTGAGGAGGCTTGGGAGCAAGCCTGGGGACTGGCACAGTCTGGACACCAGACCCCACACTCTGTGTATATTCCACCACCTCATGTACTCACATACTCACACAGATAGACACATACACATGTGAGCACACACACACACACACACACACATATATATACAGGGAGTGCAGGCACAGGCACTGCACTCCAGACCCAACACTGTGTGTATATCCCACCTCCTCATGTGTTCACATATGTGCACAGACACACAGACACAGAGACAGGCACAGGCACAGGCATACACACACACACACACACACACACACACACACACGGGGAATGTAAACACAGGCGCTGCACTCCAAACCCCACACTATGTGTGTATCCCACCTCCTCATGTGTTCACATACATGCACAGACACACAGACACATAGACACACACGACAGACACAGAAGACATAGACTCACATACATACACTCACACACACACACACACAGAGTGCAGGCACTCAGATCTTTGCCTCTGCCTGTCCCTGAACTCTTGACTTGGAGGATTCGGTTGGTAGGGAAGGAGGTGAGCTTCCCACTCACGAGTGTCCTTGACTAGCTCACTCCTCCTGCCCTTTGCCTGCCCAGGAACTCATGGAGGCTGTGCATCTGCACCTGGTGAAGGAGTACATCATCCGTCTCTGCAAGCGGCGCCTGGTCCTCAAGACTGCTGAACAGCAGCAGCAGCTGGCGAAACACATCGAGGCTAATGCTGAGGCCATTCAGAGTTTCTGCACACAGAATGTGAGTATCCCCATGCCTCCCTCCTTACTCCCATCTCAGAGACCAGAACAACCCCATGAGGCCTCGCCAAGCTTTGCCCTGAGCCTCTTCAGCCCCCAAGTACCCTGCATGTACAGCATCTCTCAACCAGCCCCCTGCTTCCAGGGCTCCACTGCAACCTGGCTGCACCCTGCCCTCCCTACACTTGCTGAGATAATTCGCCTACAAGACCCCAGTGCCATTAAGATTGAGGTGGCCACATATGCCACCTGGTACCCTGACTTCAGGTAAGAATGAGGGGCCCCCAGGATCTGAGTCGTTGGTTTGTCCTTGCCAGGTATGTCCCACTGTGTCCAGGTATTCTGGGGCTAGAGTCCCCTTCATGACCTGCTCAACTCAGCTGCTGAGGCTCCATCAAGGAGGGGTCACGATGTCTGGGTGCTGACTTTCACGCCAGGCACTGTACTAGGACTGTTACTAGTAACTCAAGTATTTGAGCTCAGCAGAGCCCTGCAAAGGCTGACACTGTTTATCCGCTGTACAGCTGAGGCCTGTGTTTCCAGGGTGGTATAACTAGTCATGACAAAGCCAGGCAGTGTGTTTCAAAGCCCATGCTCTTAGCCTTACATGACATTGCTCCCCAGAGAGGAAGGCGAGACCAGAGAGACCAGAGTCTATCACTTGGCTTAGGGGTCCTTGGGCGTCTTACACCTGGCATTCCTGTTAGAGAATGGAGCTGTCTGGGGACCTGGCGAACCACTAACACTTTCCTCCCTAGGCTGGGTCCTCTGACATTGAATGTTTGGTTTGGTCTCTTAACTGGGGTTGATCTACCTTCGCCTAGTCCAGTCTGACTGATCCACTGTACATTCATCTGTTCACCCATCCACCCACCCACCCACTCACCCATCCGCCCACCCTTCCATGCAGTCATCATCCATCCTTTTTGCTATTCATCAATCCACTTATCTACTTATCCATCTATCTACCCACTGACCCAAGCACATATCCTCCCCTCCACTGATCCCTCTGAGTATTATTTAGCAGTCTTCTAAGTGCTAGTTTCTGTTCTATGCCATGGAATACAATGAATGCAGGACAGGACAGGTCTCGATCTGTCCTCCTATAGATTATAGTCTGGTGAGGACTAACTATAATGGGGTAATCAGAAATAGGACAATTCCAAGTTGCAGAGTTTAATCAACATCTTAAATTACAGGAGGTGCTGGCCAAAGACGGGAAATCTATTTGGGGAGGTGACACACAGCTGAGACTTTAAGGGTGGGAAGGAGCTGGCCACCTCAAGGATATGAGGGACATTCTGAAAGAGCAGCCAATGCAAAGGCCTGGTGGGCTGGAGAAAGGTGGAGACAGGACAGCACTGCCTCCTATTTGGTGGCACAGCTAGGGCTTCAGGCTGCAGGCTCTTTGGCAGGGTCTGGTGTCATGTCAGAGGAGCCAGGAAGGGCTGTGAACAGGGGTGTTGGTGACCAGGAGGCTGACAGGTTGCTCTTCTTGCCAGCAAAGGCCACGTGAATGCCATCCTGGCCATCAAGGGGAACCTATCAAACAGTGATGTCAAGAGCATCCGAAATATCCTGGACATCAACACGGGGGTTCAGGAAGCCTCCAGGTCCCTATTTTCACTTATAAAGGTTGTTTAGCTTTTGTCACAGTCTAACCTGCTTGTGAGCACCCAGCGATCACCACCCCAGTTGGGGACAAACGCCCCAGCCGAGGGCAGCCACTGCAACTAGGAACCGTGCAATGGTGCTGGCTCCAGGGCCCATCATGAGCTGCCCACATTCGGCTGCTGCTTCTGCTCAGCCCTGACTAGAACAGGACCCGGCATCCAGAATTGGACAGACCGCTGTCCAGTGGGGCAGGAGGACCTATGGGCAGCTGACACATGGGCATGTAAGAAACTTCTTGGAAATGATGGGTGATCTTGAGTGTCCCGAAGGAGGGCTCCAGGAATCCTGGGCCACTCCCGGGCCCCTCTACAGTCTGCCTCCTAATGGTCCTCTTTTAAAAGGTTTTTCTGAGTGATCCCTTCTAGATCCCTGGAGCCAGTGGCAAAGCTTCATTGGCCTTGGTCCTGCTTCCTTCAGCCCCAAGCTGCTGTGAGATAAACCTGAAGACAGAGAAAGAAGGAAAAAATGATCTCTTGTCCACGGCCTGGAAAGGGACTTGTGGGTTCCATGGTGAGCCAGGCAGAGTCAGCATCAGAACCACTTGCATGTGACCTGTGACCTCACAGGCAGCCCCTTGGTGCTCAGCTAGGACCCTCCTCTGTACTCCCCTAGGGCTTCCCTGTGTGTGTGCAGGGGTGGGGTGGGTTGGGGTGGGGGTGTGAGAGGAGCTTTAGCTGAGCCCAGGGCCTCCTGGGAACTCTCAGGTTGAATCTTCCCCAACACAGGGACAAGCTAAAGGGCTTTCTCTGCGGGCCCTGCCCTCCAAAATCTGAGTGGAAACATGGGGCAAGCCCTGTATTATTTTCCTGTTGGTACTGTACCAAGTTTCCACATATTTAGTGGCTTAGAACCAGACTTTCCTTACAGTTCTGTGAATCGGAAGTCGGAGACAGGGCTGAAAATCGAGGTGTGGTCAGGGCCCCATTGGTTCTGGAGGCCCCAGGGGAAGAATCATTTCCTGGCCTTTCCCAGTGTTCAGAAGTACCCATTTTCCCTGTCTGAGGCCCTTCCACCTTCAGAGCCAGTGATGGCCACTTAAGTCTGTCACACTACCTCCCTCTTCTGCTCTTAAGGCTCCAGTGACTACATTGGACACACCTGGAGAACCCGAGCTCTCCCTATCTGAGGCAGCTATTAGCAGCCTTAATTCCATTTGCAGTTTTAATTCCCATTTGTTATGACACCCAGAATCATTGGCCTTGGGCCTCTGTGGGCGGACACCTTTGGGGACCAGTATTCTGCCCGTTCTGGCCACCATCCATCTTCTGCCCCATGTTCTACATCTGAGAAACAGGACCTCAGTGTCCCAGCAAGGGCCTGCTACTCCATAGACCCTGACTCTGCCTAGCCAGGAAAGCCCTTATCAGCACTGACCCAGCCTCAGTGCCTTGGGGTGAGAGGCTAGGTTTGAAGCCCCTCTTCTGGATATACCCCCGTTCCAGGTACTGCCTTACAAAACTGGTCAGAAGCTGGCCAGGGTGAACAATGCACAAAGGCCTTTGTATTTCTATAGCTTGTTTGATGATATTAATATTGTTAATATTATTTTTATAGTGTTGCTTTTGTATGTGTGTATTCTGGACAGAATCCAGGGTTTTTTAAAGAGCTTGATATAAAACCGATTTCCAAAGTGGCTGTGGAGTGGTTTATTTTGGGAGTTGCAAGGTTGGGGTGGGGGAGGCATCTCTAGCAACTTTCTCACTTCCTGTTGCCCTGTCGTCTTTGGGTCCAGTTCAATGTCTAAGCCTCTGCCTGTCCTGCCTCCCCAGCCTCCTGTGGTCCATCCTAGAGAAGACGCCCCCGCTTTTCATGAACCTGTGTCTGTTACTTCACCCCTGCCTGCTTCCTCTCCTATAAATAGGGAACTGTGTGATCCTGAGGATGAGGAATGGGTACTGGTGGGAGGGTGGGGTGTGCCGTGTGAACTGCTATCATTTCGACTCCATACTTGGGCCAGAGTGGGAACTCTATGACCGGGAGCTCCTGGTTTCTATACAGTTGTCTTCCTTTGCATCCCAATACTGACCTAGGGACAGAGTAGAGTTTCTTAGGGAGAGAATGGGCATGACAAATCCATTCCACAAAGCTCAGGAAGAGGAACAATGACGTCTGTATGCCACAGTACAAAGGGGTGTGTGTGTGTGTGTGTGTGTGTGTGTGTGTGTATGTGTGTGTGTGTGGTGTGCTTAGCCTGCTGACTGGTGTGTGTGTGTGTGTGTGTGTGTGTGTATGTGTGTGTGTGTGTGTGGTGTGCTTAGCCTGCTGACTAAGAACAAGAGGCTGGAACCCTAAGCACCTGCCACTGTCTGCAGACCTGGGCTGGATTGAGTCTTCTCCCATAGAGTCTTAGGATTTGGGGGACAGAACATCCTTACCTTATCTGAGAACTTCTGGCTTGTGCAAGAGGAGACCCCTGGGCTGAGGGGCCAGAGGGACAGATTACCACACAGTGCCCACTGAGCCCCAGAGAGCCGGGTGAAGGGTGGGGAGAACGGGGCCTGGGTGGTCCCTGTGGTTCCTGACTTGGGTGGGGTTACATCCAGCTCTGGTCACCAGGCCAGCTTCTACTTGGGTTCCACATCAGTCACTTCTCAAGGAAAATCCCAGAAAGGGCAGGATTTGCCCCAGAAAGAGGAAGTGAGTCACCAGGCGTGGGAGCAGAGGCTCTATGCACCAGGTCCTTGGGCTCCAGCATGCCAAAAAGGGGAGGGAGGCCACGGTCTGCCTGAGCCATTCCTGCTGTTGCTGGTAGAGCTGAGTTTTCCAGGAACTCATTTCTTTAGTGTCTACAGGTTTCCAAGGCCCATACAAACACCAAGAAAATAGGCAGCTAAGGAGAGTCAAGTGCAGCAGGTGAAGGTGACAGGAGAGATGGGGGCAGCTCTTGTTTGGGGGAAAGCTGGCTCAGGAGGTGACAACTGGGCTCAGATCCAAGATGAAAGGAGGCCCTAGCACAGACCTTGACTGAGCCAGGCAGGGAGAGTCCCTCCTGGACAAAAGCAGGTGGGAACTGAGAATGGTCAGGTTGCAGGAAAGAGGTAGAGGACTTGGGAATGAAGGTGGGGAGGGGATGGGGGGAAGACCATGTCAGTGAGGACAGACTTGAAGGCAGTGAGTTCACAGGCCCAGTCCATTCCAGCTATAAGGGGATGTGTTGGAGAATTTTGAAGAGGGAATTTGGGGATTTATGACCTGTAGGGACACTCCGGTGTTGCTTAGAGAATGAGAAACAGAGAAGAGGCCCAGGAGCTTCGCAAAGGGCCCTGTGGTTGCCAGGGGAGAGAGGATGGATGAGGAGGGCTCTAACTGTGGGATGAGATGGGTTCACTCTGTGCTAAAGCAGTTCATCATCTGATGGTCTGAGGTGATGCTTCCAGAGGTAAAGAAGGCCTGGGAGGGTGGGGAGCGGATCCTGGGGGAGGATGTTGGCCAAGTTCAGTTTGGGAAGTCTGCAGAAAGGGATTATGGCTCATTATGTTGAGCAAGGCCCAATAATGACAACACTCTAGGTAAGGTTGCCGAATACCAGGTCTTCTCTCACTGCTTGGGTTACACTTTTTCACAGCTGCTTACGAGGGGACTTTGGGACCAGTGACAAATGCAGGTATCTGGTACCTGGAAGCCCGCTATTCCCTTCCTAGGGCTTTGTCTGATCCTCACTCCAACAGTGATGCAAATGACACAGGCACAGGTCAGCTACTTCCATTGTTGTAGCAAAACACTGGAAACTCCCAAAGTGCCCATTGGCCACACCAGGGAAATAATCACAGGGTACCCAAACAATGGAGGCCTGTGCAGCTGTGAGAGGAGGGAGGCAGGCCCTCAGTGCTGATTAGAAAATTCAGATCATGTGGGTTGGAGTGATGGCTCAGTGATTAAGAGCACTGGCTGGTCTTGAAGAAGACCAGGGTTCAAATCCCAGCACCCACATGGGGGCTAACAACCACCTATAACTCCAGTTCCACAGGATCTGATGCCCTTTTCTGTCCTCCGTGGCCATTGCACGACACAGGTACACTTACACACGTGCAGGCAATACATTTGTACACATAAAATAAATTTTTAAAAAAGAAAAGTCAGATCATATAATGTTAAGGAACAGAGGCTGTGATAGTCTGCCTTCAAATAAACAAAAATGGAAAGATAAATATACGTCTGAATTTGCGAGTGCAGCTGGGGTAACCCCAGGAGTAACCAATGTGGCAGTCCATTAATGAGAAACTTCACTCGGGAGTAGTTGGACCAAGAGTGGGGCCGATCCTGTTCTGAGGAGTCCTGGTTTCTCTCAGAACTGTTCTCTCAGAGATACGTCTATTTTCTTGTCTATTCTCCTACTTTACTCCTAGTCTGGTCTATTCTTTTTCTTGTTTTTTAAATTTTATAATTTGTGTATGAATGTTTTGCCTGCATGTACATGCATCATGGGCATACAATGCCTACAAAGGCCAGGAGAGGACGTCAGATCCCCTGGAACTGGAGTTACAGATGAGTGTTAGCCGCCATGTGGATGCTGGTCATTGAACCCAGGTCCTCTGCAAGAGTGGCCAGTGCTCTTAACCACTGAGCCACCTCTCCAGCCCCTGTTCTGCCCTGCTCTAGTCTCACTGTCTAACAAAAGGATTTTCTCATATTTATTGAACAACATATCAGGCATGGAGGAGAAAAGACATGGGCAATCTTTGGTAAGTTTTACAGAGGAAGAACTTGTTTTTCTGACCCTACTGATTGAGAACAGCACGCAAAACCACAGACGGATGAGTGTTATCAACCTGTGCTCCGTGCTGCCTGCAGTATTTGTGGGGCAATATTTTCATTGTTTTCAACATCATCACTGTCACATCTCACACACACATACATTGTTATGAATCAGGGGCTGAGTCTCAAGTATGGAACACGGTATAAGACTGAGCCCGTGTGTGCAGCTTGGCTTATGAGTTAATTATATCAGGATTCCAAATCTTTTAAAAAATGTTTTATTATTTTTATTTTATGTGTACGAGTGTTATGCCTGCATGTAGGTAAGTGACCGTGTTGTGCAATGCTCGCGGAGGACAGAAGAGGCTGTCGGATCCCCTAGAACTGGAGTTACAAATGGTTGTTAGCTGCCATGTGGGTACTGGGATTCAAACCCAGGTCTCCTGCAAGAACAGTCAGCTTTCTTAACTGCTGAGCCATCTCTCCAGCCCCTGGGATTCCAAATCTTTGTGAGACTGACTACATTGATTTTCCTAGAAGGAGTGCATAGTTCTAAATGTTCTCAGAACATATGATTAACTTGGTTTACAAAGTTATATAAAATTTTAAATTGTAAAGGCTTGTTACAAAGAGTTTTTCATGAAAAAGTCATTCCCACAGAATAATGGGGTGTGTGTGTGTGTGTATGTGTGTGTATGTGTATATGTGTGTATGTGTGTGTCTGTGTATGTATATGTGTGTATGCATGTGTGTGGTGATGTGTGTGTACGTGTGTGTATCTGTGTGTATGTGTGTATATATGTGTGTATTTATGTGTATATGTGTGTATGTGTGTGTATCTTAGTTCTTTTGGATTACTGCAATAACCAGCTATTGTATGGC